GGCTCACTGCAAACCCCGCCTCCCGGGTTCAAGCGATTCTCCTGCCTCAGCCTCCCAAGTACCTGGGACTACAGGCACATGCCACCATGCCCAGCTAATTTTTTGTATTTCTAGTAGAGTTGGGGTTTCACGTGTTAGCCAGGATTGTCTCCATCTCCTGATCTTGTGACCCCCTTGCCTCGGCCTCCCAAAGTGTTGGGATGACAGGCGTGAGCCACTGCGCCCAGCAGAAGCAAATGTATGAAGTGTGAAATGGGACATCCGCAGGTGTTAGAAAATAACACGGCCCTTACAGAGAGCATTTTCAGAGAGTGTTTCATGACTCAGGGCAGAGTGCTCACAATATGTCCACTGGATGGAAAGAAAAGTTTGTCTTAGGGCCTGCAGACAGTTGGGCTCAGTGTCAGTCAGAGTTCTGCTTGTGCCACTTCAGAGCTGTGTGGCCTTGGGCCAGGGACTTGTCTTCTCTGAGGCTGAGATTCTTCGTCTGATGAAGAAAATAACCTGGAGCACAGGACCCCTCCCTTACAGAGGTGTTGACAGGATGAACCAAAATGATACCTCGGTGGTTTAGTACAGAGCCCAGTGCCATAGTTTGCATTTAATAGTAGCAGTGATTAGGAGGCATTTTGTTAACAAATCCTATCCATGTGCACACACCACACCCATATACCCGTAGGAGCCAAGGTCACTGAGCTCTCAGAAGCCTGGAATTGAGGTGCTTTATGTTTCTCCTACTTTTTCGTATTTTTTTTTAACACCTTTGCAAAGGGTATTGCCGCTTTTAGTTGGGGGTTCATTCTGAGGAATTCATGGGGACAGGAACAAGGGGCTCTGCACACACAGGGAGGCAGAGGCTGACATGCAGCGAAGTCCGAAGTCCGAGGGAGGAAGCTCGAACTTCCCCCTCAGGGATGAGGCCAAGGTGGGGTTACCCCTTTCTCTAAGCTGACTGCAGAATGGCTAGGAGGGGACCCCGTGGCCCGGTTGTCATAACAACTCTGCGGGCGCCTCGGCAGGGAGACTCTTTGAAGCTTATTTTTAGTGCCCTGGTCGCCCTAACAACCAGGCTGGCTGGTAACCACGGAGTACCTGGGCGTCCTGGAGACGGGGTGGAACCAGGCCCTCCTCCCCAGCCTCTAATTGGCCCGGGCCGTGAGCAGGGGCCAATCTGCGCCTGGTTTCAGGCCCCGCCCTTCACCTGCCAACCTGAGATGCCTCTCAGCTAGAAGGATGGAGGTCCTAGGGGCAGCTGGCTGGGAGCAGAACAGGGCAGATACATGGGCCGTATTGCCTCTCCTCATCCTCTTGTGGCTCTTCCAGCCTCAGCCATAGGAGCCCACACATATGCTTTAAAACCATGGAAACAGCCTTGTTCCTTCCATGCACACCTTCACTCACAAAAATGCGATCGTGCCATGTACTCCCGAGAAGGCAATACCCTTTCCAGGATCAGCTACTACAGGGCCCAGTGGAAACTGAGCACACAAGGCCTCTCCCTCAGACGTTTAGAACGTCACGGTGGTGACTGCGCAGACTCACCCACATGCTGCTATTTTCCTTATTAGCCAGTGTGCCTCACCTGCGCCCTGTGTGACTCCTAGAGACCATCTGTCCTCCTGGAGGATGGAGAGATGGGCCTGGTCGTGGTGGGTAGTGGGGTACCCAGGTTTTTTGGGTTTTTTTTTTTGTGGAGACAGAGTCTTGCTCTTGTTGCCCAGGCTGGAGTGCAGTGGTGCAGTCTCTGCTCAGTGCTACCTCTGCCTTCCAGGTTCAAGAGATTGTCCTGCCTCAGCCTCCACAGTAGCTGAGATGACAGGTATGTGCCATCATGCCTGGCTAATTTTTGTATTTTTAGTAGAGACAGGGTTTCGCCATGTTGGCTAGGCTGGTCTCAAACTCCTAACCTCAGGTGATCCACCTGCCTCGGCCTCCCAAAGTGCTGGAATCACAGGTGTGAGCCCCCGGACATGGACAATGGGGTGCCCTAAAGGAAGCAGCAGCATGATCCTCTGTGTCAGGTAGAGAAACTGGGTTCAGACCCACGCTTGGACATGGACACAGCTCTCTCTCCTTCAGGGCTAGGGTTCTCTGCTGTGACATAGTGACTGCTGATCATCTGGGAGGGCTCAGCCCTGTGTAGATACCAGGCGCCGGTGAGCAGAACGGATGTGGTTCCTGGAGACGAGCTCACAGTGGGGCAGCACCTGCCCCGGGGAGTCTGGAGGATTGAATGTGTATTTGTAAAGCATCTAGCTCAGATACCAGAGAAGGCCAGAGAGAACTGGTCACCCCATTAGATCCCTGAGGTTCTGGGGGTTAGAACCTGGGGTGATTGTAAGTTACAAGGAGTCTAAGGGCTGCTGCTCATGATTGTGGCAACCCCAGCATCTCAGACTTGGGCCTCTGTGGTTTCCATTGCTTCCTCTCCCAAGCCATCCTCGGCCCAGCGACATGTTCAGAACCCCCTTTGTGCCCTCTGCATGGGGTCACCTGTGCCTCCCACTGCCCCCAGATGCCAGGGCCAGAGGGAGTCTCTGCCACTGCCTAGGGTTGGTCTCCCAGCCCTGCATAACAGGGCCAGGCCCCTGGCAGCTCCCTGCAGCCTCAGGGATCCCAGAGCTCCCTGCACCTGGGGTGGCGGGCATCTCTGGCTGTGGCCTGACTGTGAGCTGCCCTGTTTCAGGCACTGTGGTTTGACCTGCAGCAGCGCCTCTCGGACGAAGACGGCACCAACATGGTAAGACCCCTTCCCCTACCTCTCCTGGGACCACATCCCTGTGCGAGTCAGGATTGCCTGGATCCATGGGGCTCGATGCCCCGGCCCCCGGCCCTGCCTGGGACCTCCATCAGGGGAGATGTAGCCCCAGCACTTGGCCCCTAGGCCCTGCCCTGGCCTGAAGCCACCCCCTACTCCAGGGGTGTTCCTTAAGGTCCCTGGTCTTTGATCCAAAAAAAAAGTTTGGTCTAGAGCAAAGTGGCCAGCAGGACAGTGATGTCAAAATGCTTAGTCCATCAACTCTGAATTTTTCTGGTCCGTGGGTATGCTGTGTCTCCGGGCCCCGGAGGCGTGGCAGCAGCTGTGGCCACGGCTGGGGCCTGTGTAATCACCCGCGTCTGTTTTCCCCATTTGTGGGGGCTACCTCTGCTTCTAATCCTTTCGTAGCCTATTTTTATTCCATGCGTATGCTAAGAATGAAAAGTGTGGGAGGGTCATTTTTTGACCGAGGAAGGGAGGTCATGGATGGGTCTTCAGGGAGGAGGCCTGCCAGGGAGCCCCACACTGACTCCTGTTGTGGCCGGTGGCACTTGCAGCTGGTCCGGCAGGAGATGGCCGTGTGCCCTGAGCAGCTGAGCGAGTTCCTGGATTCCCTGCGCCAGTATCTGCGGGGCACCGCGGGAGAGAGGAGCTGCTTCCAGTGAGTGAGCCGCCCGGCGTGGTGGGATGGTGGCAGGGAGCTTTGCCTGGCAGTGGAGGGACGGGGCAGGACCAGCCTTACCCCTACATACAAATCGCACCCCAGGAACACGCATAGCTGGGTGCATAAGAGCTGGGTTCAGGTCTTTACTCAGGTTCCTCCCAGCCATGCAAACATGGGAGGAGAATCTCATCTCTCCAGCCTCAGCTTACGCATCTGTAAAGGGGTGACACCCCCCAGACTCCTTGCTGTGGGTTATCACGGGTGGAGATAGAATCAAGTGTGAAAGCCTGCAGCCGTGTCTCGTGTGCCGCGTGCACTCACTCAGTCTTAGGTGTCACTCTGTCTGGAGCATTGCTGCACACTTTTCACCAGGTACAAAATGTAGTATGTGCTCAGTTAACCAAGGAAGGCGAATAGGTGAGGCTGGAGGGGAATGGCCAAGAAATGTAGCCGCCATTTTCTCCCTCCTCCCCCCTAGTCAGGGTCGGGGAAGGTGCCTGACCCTCAAATTCCCGTTCATCCCCTGGGGTGATGTAGCTCCTTGGTAAAGCTAAGCCATGTGACATGGCCAGAGTGTAGGGCTCTGCAGCAGACAACAGCCCTTCGTTCTGGAGGGTAGGGGTCCCCAAGGAGCATGAGGCCCAGGTGCTCCTCCCCGTCTCTGCGGCCAGGCTCTGCCTCACTCCACCCCGGGACTCATTCATTCACCCCTTTGGGGGCACGGTTGTGAACCAGGCAGGCCAGGTCCGCACGGGGTCTTGGGGACGGGTCTTCCTGGGCTGCAGGTGCACTGAGGCCTGCCTAAGTGGTGGTAGCCGGGGCAGGAGTGCGGCTGCTGCGGAGACCTGGGGTGGCCACCAGGGGCCGTGCTTCAGTAGCCCTGGTTGGGGCGCAGGACCTGGTCTTTCCTTCGATATGTGAAATGTGGGGCCAGGGCAAGGCAGGGCCACCCGGATGGGCGGTGGAGAGGAGGCAGGGTGGACGGAGAGACTCGGCTTCAGAGCCTCCGGAGGGGACAGTGCCGTTTGTTGAGTTGGAGAAGGCAAGTCTGGAGTGGCAGAGGCAGGCATGGGGCGTGTGCTGGCCACAGGAGGGATTCCAGCCTGGCACCCTCCCTCCACCCCCTGCTCTTGGCTCCCCCTTTATGGTCACTTGGGCCTTGTACAGAGGAGCCGGGAGTGGCAGGCAGGATCTGAGCGTTTATACTGAGGGGAGTGCTGAACTGGGGGTTCCGCCCGTGGGACTAAGGACAGGTCTGCTGCAGCTTCATCCAGGGCAGGTACAGCATAGTGGAGTTGTTTCTAGGATTTCGTGAGAGGAGGATCAGGAGGAAGATGCTTTGATTTTTAAAGATAGGGCTTTATTTGTTTTGTGACAGTCTGGCACCCAGCGTGGAGGGCGATGGTGCAATCTGTCTCCCGGTACAAGCAATTCTCCTGCCTTAGCCTCTGGTGGAGCTGGGATTACTGGCATGCACCCCCATGTCTGGGTAATTTTTTTTAGAGACAGGCTTGTACCACGTTGGTGAGGCTGGTCTTGAACTCCTGGCCTCAAGTGATCCACCTGCCTCGACCCCCAAAGTGCTGGGATTACTGTTGTGAGCCATCAGATGGGGCTCACCGGTTTTGTTTAAATAAAGATGAAGCCTTTTAGAATAACATCACAGCTGGTACAGGGGCTGGAGTTTGCAATCCTAGCACCCGGGGAAGTCAAGGTGTGTGGATTGTTTGAGTCTAAGAGTTCAAGATCAGCCTGGGGACCACAGACTCCATCTTTATGAAGACATTGTTTGAATTTGCCAGGCCAACAGTCCCAGCTACTTCTGAGGCTGAAGTGGGTCCTGATCATGCCCCTGCGCTCCAGCTTGGGCAACAGGCTGAAAAAAACCGAAGTCCCTTTTTTCTGATCCTGGAAGGTCCTGCTGGCGACCCCAACCCCCTGAGTCTTAGGGTATCTAGCTCAGAGCTGGGCTCTAGGGTCACTAGTCAAGGCCCAACAGAGGGCAAGACAGGGAGGAAGAAAGGGTGAAGGCAGCCACTGTGTCCGGGGTCCTCAGGGCCCTGCGAGGGAGAGGGCGCACTAAAGTACAGGCTCCCCCCTGTCTCCTATTACAGCATCGCTGCCGTGAGGCTCTCAGACGGCTTCACCTTTGTTGTCTATGAGTTCTGGGAGACAGAGGAAGAGTGGAAGAGGTGAGTGTGGCAGGTGATGGGGAAGCCCGGGTGGGGGATGGCCGGCTGCCAGGGCCCCTCACCTGGAGCCAAGCCCAGCACACAGAGTCACGAGGCATCTCTCCCTGCAAATGCATGTCTCAGTTAACTCCCGTGCATGCAGGAGTCCTCGGGGGATATTGAGACCCCCCAGTGCAGCCAGCTCGGCACTTTCAATGCAGGTGCCCCGGCAGCCCTGCTGAGGATCTACCCCCACAGCCGCTGCCTGGGGGTGATGAGAAACTGCTGGGCTAAGGGTTGAAATCCCATTCCCGGCCCCACCCAGGTCAGGTGCCCTCCTGATTCCCCCCGAGTTTCCTCCATGCCCAGCCCTGTGGAGTGGAGGGCCAGACACCCAAGGTAATTCAGTCCCTAGGTGATCAGTAGTGCCAGCCATGAACCTCCCCCCTCCAGCTGAGTGGAGGGGGGATGGTAGGGGAAATCATCAGCTCTGATGGGTTTTAGGGTCCTGTGGACTGCTCAGAGCACATCTTGGGCCGTTTGTTCCCCACCTGGGGTAGAGACTGTTTCTCACGTGCCAGACATCAGAGGCAGGAGGAGGGACTGGGGCAAGCTCATGCCTCTATCACCTGCTTCCCCAGTTAACACTCAGGGTGTGCTGACAAATTGAGGACCCCGGTGGGAGCAGGGACTCACAAACTGAGGGAGTAGAACCCTTAGCAGCTTTCATGCTGTCATCTCTCCTGGGTAGAGGATGGCCCCACTCCTCCTCCGAAGGTAAAGTCGGAGTTGGAGACTCCGTGCACTCATAAGAGGGGTACCTGCAGCACCTGCCAGGCTCACAGGGGCCAGAAAAGCTCCCTGCCTACCCCAGAGCTACCCACACTCAGCCGCCCTGGGCACCCCCTCGCCTTCTCACAAACGCTCTGGGTCTAAAGATTCCCCCAGGATGATGGATAAGGTCCCCCCTCCTGGGCACAGCGAGCATGAACAGGGGCTCCGCTCCCAGCCCCACCTTGACTAACACGTGTCCCCGGGTGGCAGGCACCTGCAGAGCCCCGTGTGCAAGGCGTTCCGGCACGTCAAGGTGGACACGCTGAGCCAGCCCGAGGCCCTCTCCAGGATCTCAGTGCCAGGTAGGAGGCGAAGGCCTAGAACCGCTGTGGCCACCTGTGTAGAGAGAGCAGGGAACAGCACCAGAGGCTGCCCCTGCAGACTGGAGCCTTCCCTGTTTGCTCCTGGAGGAACTGTGGCCCAATGCTAGGTGGACAGAGAGGGTCCTGGGGGAGAGGAGAGCGCCCAGGTCCCAGCCAGCTCGGAGGCAGCCCCAGCCTGCAGCAGGTGTGGATGCCGGAGCTTGTAGTAGAGCACCCCCGCCCTCCATGTCCAGCCAGACTGAATGTGCCTTCCCAGGAGTGTGGTTCACACCCAGGTGACCAGTGAGCAGCTGTGCATCACACAAGGGCCTAAAGCCTTCCACCATCTAAGGCCAGGGCTCTGAGCTGCCAGCCGCAGGAAGGGCTTTTCTGCCTCGCAGCTGCCAGGGAAGCCGATGTTTCCCCAGGGCGCTGGTGAGGGGAGCTATACCACCACGTGCCCTTCCAGATGCCCACCACCAGCCAGGAGGCTGCTCCATGCTCAGTGCTCTGTCTACCGTCTCTCTCTCCTTCTAGCTGCCTGGTGCACAGTGGGACGCGACTGACCGCCTCCCAGAGGCTCCTTCTTCTTGTAAAGGACATCCCCTGTTTTCTAGAAACTTTGGTGCAGAAGTTGTCTTTCCAATGTATCCTCCACAAAAAGGTGTTTCCCTGCTGGGAAGGGAAGGAGGCCTCCCCCACCCCCCACCTGAGCTGGCAGAGCAGTAGCTGTGTTGCCAGGGTCTTGCCGCAGCAAAAGGTGATCAGTGACAGGGGTGGCCTCCTGGAACCAGCATCCCACCTCCTCATCTCCCCCACCCCTCAAACAGCCATGCATGACCCACACTCACCACGCCCTGCCTCCGGCCTTCCTCATGTTCTCATGGTCGGGACTCAGTGCTGCCCTCTTCAGTGCCATTCTTCTACATGGCAGGAGCCACGACCCTGTAGTAGCCAACCTAGCCAGGCAGCCACCAAATAAACCCTGGTCAGGAAGGGCGGTGTGCTGTGTCTGTTTCCTGGCCGACAGTGGTGGGGGTGGGGCCGTGTGAAACCTTCAAGTACCCACAGCCTTGGGGACGCTTGAACCAATAGGCTAATGCCTAGTCCGTAGCTCCCAGGGCACCACAACCACCCTCAGGTCCATAATTCACTCAAAGGACGGGGCACCGCTGTCACAGGGTGTATGACAGACACAAACCAGCAAAGGAAGGGGCTGCACTGAAGGCTCGCAGCTTCAACACGGACAGAAGATCACCAACCCAGGATGCGTCCCTCATCTTTCTGGGGTATGGTGACGTAGACAGGGGTGACACCCACAGAGCTAACACCTCCAAGCTCAAGGTCCCACCATAAATCACACAGTTGGCACAGACCACAAGTATGGCCGCAAAAAGACGCTCTCCCCAGGCGCGACCCCCTAAAGGCCTGTAAGTCCTTCCCTGCACACATTAGCCATTCAACGAAGCAGGAGCCCATGACTGTCAACCAGAAATAATGTCTTAAGTCTTATTCTGGAAGCTTTGTAACCTCTTCCTATTTCTCAGGCCTGGTTAGCAGGAAAGAAGTCACACACGGCCAGGTGCAGTGGCTCATGCCTGTAATCCCAGAACTTTGAGAGACCAAGGTGGGTGGATCACTTGACGTCAGGAGCCTGAGACCAGCCTGGCCAAAACAGAGAAACCTCGTTTCTACTAAATAAAAATGAGCCAGGTATGGTGGCAGGTGCTTGTACTCCCAGCCCCGCAGGAGGCTGAGGCAACAGACTAGCTTGAACCTGCGAGGCGGAGGTTGCCATGACCCAAGATCACGCCACTTAACCCTCAGCAACCGAGCAAGAGTGTCTCAGAAAAGTCACACACAAAAGTTCAAAGGGCAAGTAGAGCAGTGGGTCTCCTCCTAAGACCAGGCAGAGCCAAGAACATCGCAGGCCAGGTGGGAGCCTGGGGGTGCAGGACCCAGAAGGGGTACCTTTCTACCTCCTACCCCAAGCCTGGGGGTGCACAGAGGGCTGGCCAGTGACACATGGTGATGATTAACACTGTCAACTGCCCATCAAAGTCCCTGACACACTGTCCGGCCTGCCCGAGGTTGCCCGGAGCCCCGAAATCCCTGCTCCCACGGTGGGTGCCTCCCTCTTGGGTCCTGCCATCCCCTTGCAGCTGGACACTGGAAACCAGCAAAACACAACGTGGGCTTGTAGGAAGCGAAAAAAGGAATTCAGCAACCATCTACACATCTGCAAGCTGAACGTCCCTGCAGCAGCCTGTCAGGGCCTCTGTTTTCTCATCTGTAACGTGCAGAGAAGCCCCCATCCCAACCAAGGATCAAGGGCTTCACTGCCTGGCATATGAGAACAGCACGGACAGGGACCACCCTGCTGCCGCGCCCGACTGCAAGGCTCGACTATTTGAAGAGTAACCCTCCGTGGGTTGGGGTGTCTCTGTGTGTACTTAACACCTTCAGGGCCCCCTCAGAACCTTAGTGGGCAACAAGGGGCTCTGACAAGAACACGTTTCAACCCTACAAGCCCCAAGAGCTCCCACTTAATTCACACTTCAGAGCCTGGCACAGTCGAGCACTTGGCAGGCACCATCTCCCTCCATGCTCTTGGCAGGTGTGGAGACAGACAGGGCAAGTGACTCACCAGAGGTCACACAGCAAATAAGCAGCTCAAGTCAGATCCAAACCCATAGTCCCGCGCCCAACCGCCCCCACCACATAGCATCAACCCATAAGGAAGGACGGCTTCGGATTAACCCGGTAACATCACCATCGGGTTTCTCCAATGGCCAGTGGTAGAATTATCACACCCCAGCAATTCCACTCCTAGGGACATACTCTACGCACAAGAATGGAAAAAGGCATCCAAACCACTCAGCCCGTGAACTAACAGCGCTATTCCCAACAGCCAAAATGTAGAAATGATCCAAATACTCATCTGCCGACGAATACATCAACAAATGCCCCCTCTCCAGCCAACAGCTCTTTCAGTCATCCACAGGCGTGAAGGGCTGAGCCACATTGCAGCCTGGGTGACTCAAACACCACGCTGAGCGAAGGCGGCAGTCAGGACAGTGTGTCCTATTCCACTTACAGGAAGCGTCCAGAACATGCAAGTCCATGCAGACGGAAAACACAGGGTGGCTGTCTCTGTGGGATCGGGGAGAGGGAAACGGTAAGGCATGGCTCTCAGGTAGGGGGATCTCCTCAGGATGCAATGTTCTAGAATTAGATGGAAGTGACAGAGACACAGCATTGTGAATGTACTAAAGGCCATTGAATCCTACACCTTAAGAATCACTCTCAAAACCAGTTCACCACCTGCATTTAGGTGGCACAGCTGCATACTCACTGGGCCCGGTTCAAAGCTGCCACTGTCCCTGGGAGGCATCTGCGGGTAGGCACCTCCTCCTGAGGCGCTTGGGGCCAGCAGTTCCCTGGGCTGGGCCCCTGCACCAAGGGAAGGGGGTCTTCCCTATAGCCCACCACACTCAGAGCAGAAGCACAAGGCATCTACACTACATTTTTTGGTGTGTTTTTCTTTTGAGACTGTCGCTCTGTCGCCCAGGCTAGAGTGCCGGGGCTGTTGCTTCTGACTCTCCACTGACACAGTACAGCTGTCACCCTGGGCCAGGAGCTGCCACAGGACACACTCTGTGTCGCACGCTTTGCAAGGACCTCAGCTCAGACTGGCAGCCATTCTGCAAGGGAGGGAGGGGCTGTCCACAGCTTCATTTTAGAAACCGACATAAAGGTGTAAACTGGAAGGCTGGAGTTCATCCAGAGGAAGGGTGCAGGAGCTGAGGAGAGCACAGGCAGGGATCTTCCCTGAAAACAAGGTCTGCTCAGAGAGGGAACAGGCTTTGCCGAGGGTACACAGCCGGTAAGTGGCAGGCAGAGTCAAGTCATCTGCCAGACCCAGAGCCCGTGTGCTGGAAGCCCTACACACTGCCACCTGGCCCCTGAGGACATCTGGGTGGAAGGTGACATCCCAGCTTCTGCAACTGTGACTGCGTGAGGCTGGGTTAATTGCCTTGCATTATGATAGTTAATTTGCAGACAGTCATGTGAGGATCACATCTACCTGTCACAGAATGGAGATGGAAGCCTTTGTCCCGAGTGGTGATATTCAGTCACCCCTTAAAGAGCCCCGCCATCACCTCTTAGCATTTAGTGCCAGTCCACTTGCCTCCTGAGCTGCTTTCCTGCTTTGGGACAAGTCCTCACCTCCTCATACTTCCCTTTTCCCCTTGGCAATCACAACCTGGGTCTTCCAGGATAAAGCTACCGTTGCTTGGGTCTCCACCGTGTGTGAGGTATCCCATCACTTACTCCAGACACATTGCCTTCATTCCTCACAAGTGCCCCACTTCGTACAGAGTAAGCCTGCTCCATTTTGCTGGTAGGGCAACCGATTCTGCAAAAAGGTTCACACACTACCGAAGACTTCGAGATAGCAAACGGCAGAGCCAGTGTTCAAATCCAACAGTCCAACTCCAAAGCCGCTTCACACACAGCCGCCTTTGATGGCATGACTCTCACCCTGCCACATGGTCATATTCCAGGACTCTCCACGAATGGTCCTGGCACAGCCCCAGCCTTCCCGGCCCAGGGCCACAGAGCCTTTCAGGAAACAGACAGCTATAAGTAATAAACCAATGACTTCAGCCTCACCTCTCACTCCAGGGTGATAAATTCTCCATCACAGCAATCTAGGCTCAGTGCAGTGGCTCACGCCTGTAATCACAACACTCTGGGAGGGCCACGCAGTAGGATCACTTGAGGCTAGGAGTCCGTGACCAGCCTAGGCAAACGTAAGACCCTGACTCTACAACAAAATACAAAAATTAGCTGGGCGTGGTGGTGCACACCTGCGGTCCCAGCTACTCGGGAGACAGGTGGAAGGACTCCTTGTGACCAGGAGTTGGAGGCTGCACTGAGCCTGAGTGACACAGTGATACCCTCTCTCAAAAAATATAAATAAAAAATAGGCCTGGCATGGTGGCTCACACCTGTAATCCCAGCACTTTGGGAGGCCGAGGCAAATGGATCACCTCAGGTCGGGAGTCTGAGACCAGCCTCACTAACGTGGTGAAACCCCGTCTCGACTAAACATACAAAAATTAGCCGGGCACGGTGGCAGATGCCTGTAATCCCAAGCTGAGGCAGAAGAATCGCTTGAACCCGGGACAGTAAGGTTGCGGCGAGCCAAGATCGTGCTACTACACTGCAACCTGGCCAACAGAGTGAGGCTCCGAGACTCCGCCAAGAAATAAAAATAAGAAATGGTGCCATCTGCCTGCACATGTCACAATTCCCAAGGCCCTTGCCTGGGAAGATGCTGTGGCCTTGGAACACAGGGTGTGGCAGGCCATGCTGGGGTTAGTCAGAGATGGAAGGAGGGTCCCGGGTACCCTCCCAACACCCCCACAGGGTCAGAGTCTACACCCGCAGTCGCACTTCCCCCATCCCCCAGCAGCCAGGCTGCAGAAGCCCCAGGGCCAGGCACCTAGTCCCACACCCTGCCCTACCATCTGCCCCCCAACTCTGGCGCCTCCCCACCATGGCATGTAGAGTAGAAAGGAAAGGAATTTAACCTCAAATCAGTTCTGATCTGATCTCTGTACCTTGCAGGACGAGCGACCTCGATTTTTCCAAGCCTCAGTTGCCTAACCTGTAAAATGGGCACATCTGTAAGCATTACATACACAAAGTCAAAGGAGGCAGACACCAAGGCCCACAGACACGTGAGGCTGTTCAGAGGGCTGCCCGTTAACAGGCAAACCCAGAGACTGAGCACAGGTGCACGATTGCTGGGGGCCCAGGAAGGGAGAAATGGGGGGAGTGACTGCTAACGGGCATTCAATGTCTTCTGGGGGGTGACAAAACAGATTGGAATTTGTGGGGCAGCTGCACAGCTCTGTAAGTGCACTAAAAACCACTGCATTTTACACTTAACAGAAGTGAATTTTTTGGCCAGGCGTGGTAGTTCACACCTGTGATCCCAGCACATTGGGAGGCCGAGGTGGGCAGATCACCTGATGTCAGGAGCTTGAGACCAGCCTGACCAAAATGGAGAAACTCTGTCTCTACTAAAAATACGTAATTAGCCAGGCATGGTGGTGCATGCCTGTAATCCCAGCTACTCAGGAGGCTGAGGCAGGAGAATCACTTGAACCCAGGAGGCGGAGGTTGTGGTGAGCCGAGATCATGCCATTGCACTGCAGCCTGGGCGACAGGAGCAAAACTCCTTCTCAAAATAATAAGAAAAAAAAAAGCCTGAATTGTTATGGTATACACCTTGTATCTCAGTTTTTGAAAATTCGTGGATGTGGACAAGCTGAAAAAAACATGGACCTGTCACCTCCAGCCTTGCACGGTCACGTACGTGACACCATATGACAGCAGGAGGGGCCTGGCCTATTGCCTACCCTGACGGAGGGATCCTCACATGTCAGTCCTACTCTCCCCTGGCTCTGGCACTGCTGGCTTCTAGGAGGACGTCCCAAAGCAGAGAAGCGTGGCCTGAACTCGATCAACCAATGACGGGACTGTCCCGGGGACTGTGCAGGGTCAGTGCCAGGAAGGACGCAAGGCAGCAGCTGGGTCCCTCTCTGCCTCTCTGCGCACTGCCCTCCTCTCCTCTGTTGTTGACACAGAGTCTCGCTCTGTCACCAGGCTGAAGTGCAGTAGCACAATCTTGGCTCATTGCAACCTCCACCTCTCGGGTTCAAGCAATTCTCCTGCCTCAGCCTCCCTAGTAACTACCAATATGCCAGGCTAATTTCTGTATTTTTAGTAGAGACGGGGTCTCACCATGTTGGCCAGGCTGGTCTCAAATTCCTGACCTCAAGTGATCAGCCTGCCTCAGCCGCCCAAAGTGCTGGGATTATAGGTATGAGGCACCATGCCCGGCCTCCTCCTCTTCTTTACCCAGGCCCTGCAGCAGACCTTTTGTCTTCTCTCGCTCTCTGCTACCAGAATTGGGGTGGCCACTGGGGAGAACCGCCAAGCAGACAGTCCGCTGGGCTTCCGCGCCCTTCGGGTCCAACTGGTGGGAGTGAAAGTGCAGCTTCCTTGGGCTCATCCACCCTCTGTGGGCGTGGGCCAAGTGCATGGCAGTGTGGGCTGTTCCAGGCACGCATCTCCCTGGGCATCTCACAGTCAAGGGCAGGATTTGGGCATTTACTGTGCCCTGGCCAAAGGCCCACTGAGTCCATCACCACTGCCAGCCCTGCCTCTTCCCACTCCCTTCTGGGCTCCCAACCCTGTGCAGTAGCCTCGTCTGACACCCTTGGTCCTGACGCTCCAAAACATAGGTGTCTGGGTCTCAGCCCCTAGCTCCCTTTTATGGGTTTAATTTTGTCTCCTAGAAACATCAGTTGAAGTTGAACCCTTGCAGCCTATGAACATAACATTATTTGGAAATTGCATCTTTCTGGGTGCTAATTAGTTAATATGACGTGCAATCAAGCTCAGATGAAAT